GTGCAAATATTGACTTTTCACTAATATATTAAATGTTAAACTAGACAAATAAATAAAATAATAATAATTAAACTTGAATCTTATAAAGGTTGGTACTGTCATGAAATAGGATTTTTAAAAACTTGATGCAACTATATTTCTTTCCTCCTTATAATTTTTCATTTAATCCAGACAACCCTTCACTGCTTGTTTTTTAAATAAACATACAGTACAAACTATTTGTTCCTTAATGGTTTTTAAATTACACACCGCTTTAACATAGTCAAGTGATGGCAGTAAAAATGAAGGATTATCACAAATTTAATTTCACATAGTCCTACAGTATGTTTTCATGCTGTCATGGATCACAGTGTCAGTCTTTTGCTCGTTTCACTGCACTGGGAAGATTAAAATTTGGTTTGGAGTTTTACGATCCCCAGATGTGTCCCAGGTGTATCCAGTTGACTTTGTCATTCCATGACTTTTCTTCTACACTGCCCAACTGAAGGTGACACTTGTACTTTTGAATCCCATTCCAACCTACTGGAGCGTCCTACCATAGATTTTAGTGCCTATGATAATGTTCCTCAGGAAAATGCTGTCAGTTTTTCCAAACCTCCATTATACCTGTATCTGGAGCCAACAGCTGATCAAAACATGACGGTGCCTGAAGAGTAAAAATTAGAAAAGCTTGATGTTAGCAAAAATAGGGGCAAAAATATAAGCAAAAATAATAGACAGTACACCCTTTTTTAATAAACATAGCTAATTAGCAAAATGAAAGCTAGCAAACAAATCGCTAACTGATATCATTTTAGTCCTTACAAATGTAAATGTTTACCAATATAGGAGCACATTTGCTAGGAGGACTAAATGAACTTAGCCTATAGTAATAGAAACGCTCAATACAAGTTTTCAATACTGCCCCTTCAATCTGATACCTTCCTTTATCCTCCAATACGTCGCGGGCTGCTGTTGCTGGCGTGACAGTATCCCAGTTTAGGGCATGTCGCACAAATTTAAGTTAATATTTGTGCTTTGGATGGGCTACAGTTGTTTTTTGTACTGTTCTATTCTGAAATTTTGATCAATATCGGACAGATACCGATGTGTGTTGGATTGGGCCTTCCCAACTATAGGATACGCATTAAGAAAAGATGAACCCCACTTTGGCAGTTATATCTTTAGATAGATTGTTACAGAAAATAACGTACAATAAAAAAGTTCAGGCTATAAAAATCTGTGCTACAATTTTAACCCAGCCAGACGAGGAACAAGCCTTTATTAGAATGAGACTCATGCCACCAGAACCTGCACTACTAATGCACACTGTGTCACTAGGTAGACACTTGCCCAGCTGTTCTAGTCACACATGCACTGAAAAGCTTTTGACATGAAATGTGTTTAGGGATCGCCTCTGCAGTATCTTTGCTCAGAGAATGATAAGTTCCCAAATTTGGAAGCTAATTTTTGCCAGTATGATGGCTGCTTGTTTCGAGCAGATACAGGCATGAGAATCAAACAAGGATGATGCTTGTAATAAAAGAGAAGAATAAGAAAAAAAAAATTGGGGCAGCTCACTACTGTGCTCAGACTTGGCCTGGCTCCCAGGAATGCAGTTAGCTCGCGTACAATCACTGCCTATTCACGATGGCACAGCTGTTGTGGACATATGTTCCCCAACAAAGGAGTAGGACATCAACCAGGCACACCTTGAACAGGTTAGCAGATGAATGGCGTCTGCCCTCATCTCGCTGCATTTTCCCTTGCTCAACAAATAAGTTGTTCTCCAATGGGGACTAAACTTTTGCAGTTCACTCGTCTGTAACAAAGGGAAGAAACACTGAACTTTAAACACTGCGATCTATAAAAACAGATGAACAGTGGATCAGTGGTCTTACATTAACCTTATGTTGGACTGGACCGCTGCATGCCTGACAATACAGCCTTCCAGTGTTGGGCCATTTTAGCTAAACTGTTGAGAAGATACTGATGAGACCCAAACATGCATGCAGCTGTCATAATGTACATGTTAACCATGAGAATTGGAAGATGAACCCAACTATTATGCACTTTATATGCAATGTATGCACCTGTTGTTATTTACACACACTGCTGGAAAGCTTTTTCATTTCACCAAAGAATTACGAATTTAAAATACCATCTTAACATCAAGTATGTGTTTGTTCAACAGTTGCATAGCAAATAAATAATGATGAGCTCATCAAGGCTGTTGAAAACGTCCCAAGAGTCGTGTTTTGACATATTTTGGGTTTTAACAACAACCTCCCAAATTCCCACAATGTATAGCAATCTTGATGTGCTGCAGTGTATTCTACGGTCCTGTGTCTTAAAGGTCCTTATTGGAACAAACTTTGTTTTATGCCACCTGGAGAAAAGAACCACGTATTTTTGTTGTTGAATAGTAGTATAAAACAAATCAAACAAAAACTGTAACTTGGAAGTGTGGTTAATAACACATCTTTTTATTCGGATCAGCACAATATTTTTTATTATTCCTAATGTCATATCAACGCACATTTCTAAGTTTTTTGCTATTTTTTAATTTTTTTTCTCCTGACAATGAATTTTTGAGAAAGGGTAATGGGCAATAATCATGGGAAAAGTTGCATACAAAAGCCACTGTCCTTACCCTAATGTGAGAGAAGATAACATTTATTCATGGCTGTCTTTCATCAAGGAGCTTAAAACCCTTAAAACTTTCAATGTAACCCCAAATTATATGCATATTGAGCTGACCTCCATAATCACCCTTTTCTCAAAGCCATGGAGGGGGGTTGTGATATGCAAAAACGTGCATATCCTTCTGCTCGCCATTCAGACAAATTCAGCACTTTTGGTTTTTACAGCCATCCAAGGGTGATGGCGTCCGTCGTTAATAGATAAAGAGGCTTCTCCATTGGCCCGGAGGTCACAGAGTGGATGTGAAAAGTTTAGACACCACTGCCACAATGCCAGGTTTAATTGATGAAAAGCATTTAAACCAAGTTATTTACTGTAATTCCAAGACTTTAGATCGAATTTAGATCTTCTGCCTTTTATTAAATATTTACAATTTGGTCCAAATCACAAGTGTATCAAAGTAATGACAACAATGGATGGTGAAAACTTTGGATGCACTGTCTAAACCTCTGCCCATTTGTTAAAATTGATTAATCTTTACAATTTTCTTTTTTTACCACATTTAAGAAATGGGTTTTGCTAACCTTTGTTCAGAAGTGATTGGTTAACATCATTGTTTTACATTGAAAACTCTGCTATAACTGGGTTTTCTAAACTATTTTAGATCCACTGCTTTGTGATGTTTAAAAATTATTCAAGCTGTTCTGCTTCTGCGAGCAGAGTGGGTTAAAAAAAACATTGTGACAAGCACTTAAAATTCATTTGATGCAATGTCAAACACTTTCAGATCACAAGCCCGAGACAGATCTAGATAACTGCCATCCATTCCCACACATTATCCATTGTTAACACTGGCTCTTTTGTCAGCCGTCTCTGCAGCTATGACCTATTAGCTTTAGTGAAGTGCTGCGAGGCCACAGAGCGATGTGAAGGTTGTTCACCCATCCAACAGGGCCATTTACAGGAGAGAGACCCCAGAGCTGAACCACGGCAGCTCTCTAATGACTCTATCAGCCACACTGATGGGAGCAAATGGTGCCAGGAGATTTCTGCACATTCCCTGAGCGTGCATTACATTTTCTCTGCCTGTTTCTGTTATTGTGTGCTAATGGTAATGCATGTAAGGTACACTGTGAGGCACTTGACTCTACAGCGAAGCAATATCATCTTTTTCTCGGGTGGAACTGCTCCTTTAAACTAAATATAATATTATTCCAGTGTTATATCACTTCTTTTAAAGCCACTTCAAACGCTCTGAATGGCTCTTTAACCTAAATAGAAGCTCGGTATAATTATTGTGATTTTTGAGGGAAGTGGGACCAATCTTGCGCCTCAATCCAACAATTACAGGAAACTGTGTGTAAGATGAAAACAGAATGTGTGCTTCCCCTTTTGTAAGATGCTGCAAAAGTCACAGGAGTATTCATTAGAGGCCTTTGTGTCCTGTTTGAAACAGTGCTGTTAAAGGCTGTAGCTGTGGGCATCTCTCTGAAGGAGATATAATGATCCTCCAATTAGAGACAGAATCATGAGACCTGTTTATTAGTCCTAATTCATCCTCACCATTGTGCTGAGCATATCACATACCGTGGAGGAAACGCTAGAGGAAAAAAAAAATCAACAATTTGCCCACCATAATTACAGATCTATTAATAGTTTCACAACAATGACAAACAAAGCCATTCACATCATTTCCCACTGTCAGGAACAATACCACACCACTGTCAATGTGTCCATTAAGGCCTGCATTTGTACCAGCGACAGTGACATGCTGCATTTCAAAGATGACTCTGAGCCTCCTCAGATAAATGAACAAGAATGGTTTTGGTATTATTAATTCTAAATGGGTTTTCTCAGACCTCTACATTTGAGGCTTATCTTACAATAACAGGCTTTTGAAGCCATAAAGGTATTTTTAATTAGGGTTGGAAAAAAAAACCCCAATGTATTGTTGAGCTTTTTATTTCAGTCGAGTCCTCAAAAAAGAAGGAAAAAAAAAACAATAAGACAGTGCGACATGATGAACAAAAAAATAAATATATAATTAGCTTAAAATACACTAGTTGTAATTTCACAGGGTTGTTTTAACATCCTAGAGAAAGCGTCACCTTCTTTTCCAATAGCTCACTGTAAGTACTGGATACTGCTACTGAACTAGTTCTGAATTTGGGATATGGTTTAAATCTATATATTATATACCTTTTGTTTGCTGAAGGGAGTTGAGGATTATGGTTGGTTTATATTTATCCAAGTATGCATTTTTATAGTCAGTCTTAAAAAAGTATGCTTTTTTAAGACTGACTCAAATCAGTGGATAAATGTGCATTATTGTCACCCCTCATAGCTAGAGAAACGTCACATTTGTGTTATCTTTTCAGGATATCTAATATGGTGGTGACAAAACAAGTGACTCCACAGCATCAATGTGCAAACAAGGTGACATCACATGGTGCTTCAGTGTTCCTGCTTTTATCCAGACTGGATGTGAACGTCTCATGGAAACACAAGGTAAGAAAACAAAACAACACATTATCCACACAATGACATTCTGATAGTTTAGCTACGATTTATAGCTCAGCCATTTTCACATTACAAAACTGTGTCTACCACAAATATTTGACTTGATTTGCTTGAATGGTTAGTGGATTTAAATTTTTCAAAAAGCAAAGGTTCCTATAATGACACGAAAAAATGCAATTCTGCATTAAATGTTGGAATTCTCACGAAATAGCACTGAGACAGAGTCATATTTCAGATTTAAATTTGAGAATTTTAAGAAACCTGCAATTTTCAAATTCAATAATATTTGAAGTCAAAGTTTACTACCTTTGCTACCTCTATGAAAAATAGCTAAAGTAAAGGAGTCAGATTCTACAGTTCTCTGGAGAAAAAAAACTGTGTTGACATGACCATCACATTAGTTTCTACTGCTGGCACCGGCTTCTTCCTAAACTCCATCATATTAGAGGCCAGAATGAGGCCACTTTGTTGGCAGAGCAGTGAATACGTGAGATCATCTTTATATTAAAGGTGAAACTGGCTCAGCTCCTGCCACAGCAGCACACTGTCACCTGAACAAGGTTATCCCAAACTTTACCTTGGAATTTTGCTTAAAAATCCTTCCTGATACTATGACTATATAAAATACTGCAGTGTTTCAACATCTGATAAACTCTAGACTTATTGGGTCTTAATTCTTTAGGGCAGGGGGGGCCGGTTTGATGATACAAAAACTATCCTGACATACTGGAGATCCTAGGTCATTCTGGATATCCTCCATATGGATTTGTTTTGGTGAGAGGTTATGGCTGAGGACATTTTACATCTACTTCATCTAACACCAATAAATAAATAAAATAAGCCTAAACTTTAACAAAAGTCCACAAGCCTTTATTTAGTCTTTGTTGATCTTTTTAAACTATAAATTTAAAAAGATGACAGACAAGCTGACCTTTAAAAAACACAGTGATTGTTCTGTAATTTTCCATCGTGTTGTGGCGTGTTTTATTATTATAAATGTGGTGTCAGCTGTAACATGTTAGAGGGAAGCAGCCTTTTTATTTATTTATTCTGCTCTTGTTAGACTTTTATGGACAGGAAATGGCTCTGCAGTCAAGTTAATGACAGAGAGTCTGACTTTATCTTGCTGCAAAGTTGTATTTACTTTTGCAGTTGTGTTTTATATGTACATTCATGACATGGTTTGGCAATAAAAGTTAATCATTAATTGTAAAATGGTTGATTATTCTTACCGTCTCTCAGCACAGTCTGCCATAAATACTCATGTGGTGAAATCATGTGTTTATAAGGCGTCCAGACTAAATGACGGACGGAAGCTCTCGATTTTTTTTTTTTTTTCTTTTCCTTTTTTGGGACAGAGCGGCTCTTCTTTGGACAAATTAATCTGCAGTAAAGATGACTTAGATCAACTTTGAAAAACACCCAGATTAAAACCCATGGAATGATTACAAACGGCAGCCAGAATGACAAGTATTATCAACAAAAATTAATCAGGTGCATCTTTTCATGAACTCAATTAATAATGTGCAACAACGGGGTCTTTTTTCCCCTGGAATGAAAATTAATTAGCAGGGGAAGGTCACTGGGAGATGCTGACATCACTCATCAGGCCGCCATGGCAGTTCTAATTATTTGTCTTCCAGGCTTGACTGATCAAAAATTATTGCCATACCTGAGCAACATTTAGAAAAAAAAAAAAGAAACTCTGTTTAAGGCGCTTTTAATTAGACCTGCTATTTGATTAATGCGGTGTAAGCGCTCGGGATCGGCCCTCTTATCAGCATTTCTGACAAGTTTGCTGGCTATTGTTGTGTGAAAGACGTTTCACTGACACTAACCGACTGTTTAGTATCTAATGCCTTCAGTTTAGTTGCAATTAAAAAGCTATTTACAGCCAGCCGCCACTTGTTGATATTAATATAGATGTTGTAAACTTTGACAAAGCTCTCCATATTGATTCTTGAAATCAACGTGTCATTAAGTGCTTATGAGTAACAATGACTGTCTAATGTGGAGTGAAGCTTAATAAAGAGCACGTTTACAGTTGGGGACAAAATTATACATGTGCCTTTTTTAAAGCCCTAGACCTGCACATAAAAAACTTCATTCAGACAGCTAATTAATTTAATTAAGCCGAGGAAACACCACATCCCCTTTAACAGTCTTTGCAGATTTGGAACGACAGATTACAGCAGATTGGGATCAGAGAATACTCGATTTGTCAAACAAACAAAAGCAGAATGTGTCAAACGCTCAAGCAAACTGTGGGTTACCAGTCCAGATTAGGCTTTGATTCTGATTGTGTCTAGCTCGCTATGGTTCATATTTGCGTCTTAATCCCTCACATACATACGACATAGATTTTGAGAAATTCTTCCGACTAGTGCAAATTAAAGCAGAAAATGCCAAGCACCCCAAACTGAGATGGAGCAGGGCCTCTACTTTATATAGTTCTTACAATTAAAACAACTTATATCAAACTAAAATAAGAGCATGCATAAACAAACCTAATTATTTTGAATGCATTCAAAACATATGTAAATCATTATAAATTCAATCAATTTAAACTAAAATAAAAATAAATTAATAAATAAATAAGGTTCAGTTGAAGACCTCTGCCCGACAGCTTGGAATTTAATCTAAAGCTAATGTTTATCTTTCTTTGTCTAGTCCTTTGTGAATTTGTTAAACAAAAAGGAAAAAGATTGAAAACATTGCTAATGTTCCTGCGTGTGACAGTTACTGTATTGTATTTGATATACATTTGAACATATATCAATTAAACATTGTCCCCAGCTGTTTCATTAACAACGCTTGCATAGTGAGGATTATACCCAACAGGGAGTGTAGTTATTACCCAGTGCTGTGTCATATAAAAACACAGTCTGCACACTTCCTGCCTGCACAGACTCTTAAGGAGAGCCAGCATAGACGCTTTAAGGTCCCACAATTTATGGTCATTTGTCAGCTATAATTAATTCCAAAAGACAAAGGTCAGAGTAGGCCAGCATTATTACCTAACCTTTGTCTGATAACATATCTACCAGCCACTGCCGAACGCTGGTCACACACAGAAAGCCGTGTTATGATCAAGGCTTTATCAAGCTGTTCTTTTTTTTTTTTCCCCCTCTTGCACAATTATTATGTTGACTTGTTGCCTGAACTATCTCCGCGCGCCTTACTACATCAATTCATATTACCTGCAAATTAGCAAAGTTCTACTTTCAAGCTCGTACTACGTTTGATCCAAATAGACTCTAAATGCCATTTCTGTTCCTATTAACCTACGGATCGGTGTGGCAGATATTTTCATGAGGTTGCTGCTGGTGGGGGGAAAAAACACCAGGCTAATGGCTGAGTTGTGACAGCGCTATTCATGATGATTTATGATTCTGTGTTTAAGTTGATTACTCCACTGCTGACTCGGAATACTATTTCAATTAGTGCACTGAAGGTCACTCCACGAAATCCCTCCATAATCTATTCCTATTAACACTAATGCGCCGAGTATCCATATCTGTTCACCCTTGTTGATTCAAATCATCCCCACTCCTAACGGCCAGCTTGTTTACTAGTTTACTGGTTCGGACGTATCCTAGATGGTAATTTTCTCTCCTCTGTGTATCATTAATGTTTTCAGTCCTGACACATAGCTGGGAGGGACATCTCAATAGAGCCGGGGTGCATTTTTATAGCCTTTATTATTTCTAATTTGTTTTACAGATCAAGTGATATTTATGCTGAATGAAATTGATCCTGAAAAGCCCTATAGGCAAACGGGGCGGTAATATTGCGAGGTGGAGGGAAAAGCAACCAAGTCCCCATTACTTGTCATCAGCGTGGAACCAAAATAGCCTGAGCTTGATCAAAATTTTAGAGGTCTTAAATTAATTTTACATCACTTTCATTCAAACTCCCACTCAGCCATGCAGAGGAGGAAATTAGCTACCTGTATTTAATCTAATGTGCTGCCTCTGTAAAGCGCTGGTGGACATGATAGACTTAATCAGTTCCCACTGATAAAAAAGAAAACGAAAAAAAAAAAAAAAAAAAAACCTCACCAGACATGCTTAGTGAGGAAGAATGGATGAAGTTTCAAAGACAGCCTCTGTGAGCTTATTACCTGGAATGAAGGCCAGCTTTATTAAGCTGTACAAGAAACATTAGTAGCACAATAAGGCCCCAGTGGAAAGCTGCTTTTTCCTCCATACAGAAATCACTGTATTTTGGGAACAAGAACATGCCATAAAAACAAAAACAAACAATTTTAGAATTGATCACAGTTTTTAAAATTCTTTTTCATTTATGAACACGTAAAAAATAAATTTAGCATTTGTGCTAAATACATGCATTGGACAAAAAGTTTGTACTACTTGTATCAAAAATTCTGGCCATGTGTATCCTATCAAATTACTAGGTAGACTACCACATAGACTACTGTTGTGGTGACCCCTGATGAATTGGAAGACTAAAGCTGAGGTCACCAACTGTACAGTATTTCTCAGAGGACCAGATTTTTTCTGGACAGACTCATTGGGGGCTGGACACTCAAATACACATTATTATTTTACTTTTTTTATCATATTGTGGGCCTGACTGGACAGTTTGGCACGCTGATGATCACTGGCTTTAGTTTATGTCAGTAGAAATATAAAAAGAAATATATAAATATAAATATCAAACAGGTCAGGGAGCAGGCAGTAAAGAATTTGTTGAGTTTGCTATATTTTTGTTGAGTTATCTAAAAACATTTGACTAAAGAATACAATCAGCAGCAATGTGTTGGGAACTTGGTTTGGTAGCTGTAGTAGTTGCCTGTAACCACAGGGTTTGGGGTTTTAGACATTTTTAATCTACATGTCGTTCTCTCAAAGAAACCTAAACCCAAAATGATGACAGAGCTCGAGGACACCATGGTTGTAATGGAAGGCCAAGAAACATGAGTTTTCCTTTCTTATTTTCCTCAACTCTTCAATGTTCATATTCTG